ATTATGTGTATTCCTCCCATCTTCTTTTGATGCTTTCTACATCAATCAATATTTTGCCCATAGAATCCTTCAAGGCTTGAATTTTTTCATCAGTCCTTTCAGCTTGAGAAATGCTGAGCTTGTTCTTCACTTTTTGATTGCTCACTACAGGTCTTTACACATTTTATTACAGTACTTGACTTAGTCTTCTTGAGCTGCCTTTTTGTAAATTTCTGTTCTGCTATTTTACGTCCTCATTTCTTCCATGTGCATTAGCTTCTCTAGGCTCACAATCAAATTTCAGTCTCTTGTGACACACATTTTGTTCTTTTCTTTCTTTACTGTCTTTTTAATGACCTTTTGCTTTGCTCCTTTTCAATGCTCTTGATATAATCAAACAACTCTTCTTATCTTCAGTTATTAGTGTCTAGTGCACCAAATCTGTTCTTGAGATGTCCTCCACATTCAGGTGGGATATGGTCAATGTCTTATTTTGGCTCTCCTGGACTTGTTTTAAGTTTCTTCAGCTTTAGCCTGAACTTGCATATAAGCAAATTGATGGTGTGATTTAATGTGTCCCGGCCTTGTCTTGGCTGAACATATTGAAGTTTTCCACTGTCTCTTACTACAGATGTAGTCAATTTGATTTCTATGTATGCCATTTGGTGAGGTTCATGTGTATGTTGTTGGTGTTGGTGTTAAGTGCCACGGAGTCGGTTTCAACTCATAACAACCCTATATAGGGTTTCTGAGGAGTAGCTGGTGAGTTTGAACTACTGACCTTGCAGTTCAAACCGATCTTGCAGTCCAGCGCATTATCCTGCAGTGCCACAATAGCCACCTTTTACGTTGTTTGAAAAAGGTATTTGCAGTGAATGTCATTGATCTTGCAAAATTGTATCATGTGATCTCCCACATAATTTCTATTTCCAGTGCCATATTATCCAACTAATGATCCTCTTTGTTTCCAATCTTTAATTCTAATCACTAATAATTATCAATGTATCTTGATTACATGGTTGATTTGTTTCAGAATGAGTAAAGTTGGTAGAATTTTTCGATTCTTTTTAAAATCACTGGCTTTAGTGATTGGTGTATAAATTTGAATAATAGTTATATTAACTGTGGGTGTATGAATATTATCCTATAATGGAAAGCATTATACTTCAAGATAGATCTTGAAATATTCTTTTTGACAATGAATGAGACCATATCTCTTCAATTTGTCATTTCTGGCACAGCAAGCCATATGATTGTTTGATTAAAAATGGCCAATATCAGTCTATTTCAGATCACTAATGCCTAGGATATTGATCTTTATGTGTTCGGTTTCATTTTTGTGAACTTCCAGCTTTCCTGGATTTGTATTTCATACATTTTATGTTCCAATTATTAATGGATCAACATCTGATAAGTACTCATAATTCAGCCTTTTGCAAGAAAAATATCTCTTCTAAAATACTATTAGTTGGTTTCTTCTCAGGTCCCTTTTGAAGGAAGATAGATAAGGTGATTTTCAAAGTATTTTATGGTGAAAATAACTAAACCATTGGAGTTTTATATCATGAAGTAACATGTCTAAAGACAGAATATATTTTATGCCTTTTAACAGTGACATTAAATGATATCTTCATAGACTAAAGGAACAAGCTAAACATTTCAAAGTATCCAATTATTTGTAGGGTGGTACACATGTGTGTATATTTGTAGATTGTGGTGCCTCTTCATTCATCTATTCATTTTTTTGTCTGCCCTTGAATACTTTCTTATTTTGACTATACTGCTGCCTCAGAAACACAGTCCTTTTAAATGACCCAATTACCAGAAATGAGACAAGTCTTTGGACTTTGGGAAGAATACCTTTCCCCAACTCAATGAATTCATCTTAATCTGTCTGAATTCTACTTCATAAATCCTAGAAATTGTACTATTCAGATGGCCAGTGGTTTAAGGTTTTGACTGAACTTCAAAGTGAAATACCCAATACTAACTATCTCCTCATAAAACATATGCATTGTCTATATGATACTGCTTCTTCAAGAACTGTTTCTTTTCTGAGTCATGTACAAATAATTTTTTGAGTCATGATTATGAATAATTTTTATTACAAATAGGCACCAAAAAGAACTTATTTTACTCTGCTAATTTTTTTCACACAATCTTTGAATTCATATCCAACATACTCTAAATTAGCTTTGCTCTAAATATTGGAAAAAATTTTCTAAGCTACAAAGATTTTACAAGATCCATGTAAGACAGTGCCTATTAGAAACCATAAAGAGCCGATAAACATACCAATTACAAAGTTGGCCTTGGAGGTTGATTGTCCATACTGTTGCTCAATGTACTTTGGTTTATATGTCACCATGCCAAATAAAGAATTCAACTGAACAGAACTTGCACACAAATACAAGCAGTACACTGGATTTCCAAAAAGATTCTTCAGTGATGGAAGAAAATCTATAAAACAAGAAGAACGTGGAATAATTAGAAGACAGCTGTCATACTTGGCAGAAGCTACAATCTTGATTACAAGGCTTAGTCTGGTCATGTTAGAGTTCAGATCATTCACCATGTTGCACAAATACACACAGTCAATAGTAAGTTATTGACATAATTCAAGGTTGAGATCTGACAAGTCTCAAATTCAGGCAGAGGTACACACGTTTGCAGGCAAAAATTGGGCCTACACCTACAGTAGAGTCAGAAAGGAACAGATTCCTTTAACTAATGTAAGGAAAAGAGATAGAAATAAGCCTCATCACCCAGCTGGGAGACTGAGACAGGATATTAGGAATTTCAGATTTCTGTTGTTTATTTTCCAGAAATTGGTCATGGTCACAGAAAAGGGATTATGAAAATTATCTCTACTTCCAACATGAAATTGAGTGTTCGAAATGAGCTTTGTGTGACTACTCTCAGATCTTACCATTATATATCCAAACAGAAATATCAAGAACTACTGTAAATGTGAATATAGTTTGCTAGAGATTGATGCAAAAGAAGGTGGATATGTTAATACTAGAGAAAACACTGCTGACCTTTTGCATCACAACAGTCTCTCAGTTACTGTTTGGGAAAGATATGCATTGGTTTACATTTCTCTAATGGGTGGGCCTCATCCCTCCAAAGTCCACAAACCCTGAAGAGTCATTCTTTTCTTCTCTGTCCACCCAGAGTGATGCTAATGCAAGGCATAAATCGTAGGTAAGGGCATTTGCAAAGTCTACATTTAAAGAGTGTAAGGGTGAAGATGTCAGTAAGGAAGGTTACCAATCAGCTTTCCCAGTAATAAAGCTGACTTTTGATCTCTATATCTGCTGCCTGTATGTTTTCTTAATTTGTTCTGAACACACAAAGGTGAGAGGAGTACTATTTCTTGAGTCCCTAAGGTGTCAACAGAGAAATGGAAAGATCTTCAAAATCATGGAGAATCGGACTCACCTTTTGCCATTTCTATTATTTTTACTTTTTTTCCACAGGGTGTTTGGTAGTCTGTTATGAACTTGCCTTCCTCAGAGGAGGAATTAGTATCTTCTCGACCACAAGGCCTTGGTAGACTCTTTGGTAAACACCAGAAAGGCACAGCTGCGAGAAGACTTATGACTCCCGCTATTAGATAACCAAGCCACCAGGCACCTACCCACTGGGGATCCTTTGGAGTAATGGTTATGTGATCTGAAAGACAAGGAGGAGGGCTAAGTCATAGATGAAGCAAAGCTAACAGGTTCAATTAAGTGCTCCCTCCTCTCTTTTTAATCCTAGTCCTGGCTCTATTGCAGTGTGTAGTTGGTAAGTGCCGTGAAGTCAGTTTCATTTCATAGTGACTCTGTGTAGGGTTTCTGTAAATCTCGGTGGGAAAAGAAAGCCTCATCTTCCTCCTCGGCAGTAGCTGGTGGGCTCAAACAACTGAAGTTGTGGTTCACAGTCTAGTGCTTATCATACACAATCACTGCACTCCCGTATTATACCATTAACTGTTGTTAAGTGCTGTTGAGTCAGTTCCAACTCATAGCAGCCCTGTATAGGGTTTCTCAGGAGCAGCTGATGAGGTTGAATCACCCATATTGTGGTTCAAACCGACTTTGCAGTATAGGGCATTAACCCTCAGCACCACACCAGGACTCCTATTACACTGTAAGATTTAATAGTTCATACATGATCATTTTTTTCTACTCTAAACAATTATCTTGCTAATTGAAAGACATGGGCTACTTCTGTAACATGATGCTTTCTCTGTTTGTTCTTTGATCTAAAAGTATAATATTCAAATACTAGAAGGAAACTCATGACTTTCAACCTTCACTTGAGGTTTTACAGAGGGACCTTTGGGCCTTTGGCATAAGGCAAGTAACATGTGAGGGAGAATTATGAGTGCTCAAAACCTCTTATACCAAGAACTCATCATTTTCACTTTTATTTAATTCACAAATTGAACAGCTAAGAATTTATTTGATGACAGGTTTATCCTGTCACCCTGTGGCCCAAATCTAGTGTAGACATCTCATAACAAAGATGATTAACTTAATACCTATTGATGTTAAATCAGCAGAACATTATTTATTTGATGGTAGTTAATGAAACTTTAGAGCTATTTTTTTTCTGAAGTGAGATTTTTATATTCAGAAAAATCTTGATATCATATTCATATTTTTAAAAAAAAATTTTTTTTAATCACTTCTCATTTGACTACAAAATGAGCACTGATAAAAAGTATTGATCCCCAAATTAAGTGTTTGCTTTTTTCTGTATGCCGTTGTAAGTTGATTCTGCCTCATGCTTCCCCATGTATGCACAGTAGAACTTCTCTATAGGATTTTCAAGGCGCCTCCGAGTGTTTCCAAACACCAACCTTTGATTAGCAATCTACCTTTTAATCTTTATTTCAGCAGTCCAAATCCACCAGTTGCTCCTCTTAAACCCTATAGAAGATTGCTCTGAGTTGGAACAGACTCAAGAACACTCAACAGCAACAACATAACCATTTTTAAGATGCTATGAAACATATCACTATATAAATACTTCCATCACTCTACATGAGACCAATAAAATAAATACACGTTCTTTGACAAATAGGCTCAGTTGCTACTGAATTATGCTCAGAAAGGCTTAGAGGAGCTTATCACTGAGTATTGTTTCTCCTTAACAATTCCCACTCACCACACCTATACTTTCTTATTCTATATCAGTCTCCAAGCTTGAATTTTTAATTTTCATGAAGTCAAGGAATTCAACTATTTCGCTCACTGCAGTAGAACAGAATGTGGTTTAGAATCGATGAGAATTTATTTTTTTGACTTAAATGAACACATGAATAAAATAATACCACTTTTGGAATGTGTCTTGAACTTTTTAGAAAGGAATACGTTAATGTAATGGTTTCCACATTCTTTTTTAACATAATGACTTCAAAATGTAATTGTGTAGTTATTTTGTATATGGGAATTACTTGTTTTTAACTGCTCTACTGGATTTCTTTGAAAAAGATAAACATTGTCTATCTCTAGAGGGCACCATTCACAGAGAAAGAAATCCAACTATGGAAAGATCAGGCCTCCCTCCCTCATGGTCCCTACACAAACAATCCTGGAAGGAAAGTCCATCTCACTATGTTGTTGTTGTTGTTAGTTGCTGTCAAGTCAGCTCCAACTTATAACAATCCTGTATAGAGTTTCCAATGAGCTACGGGTGGGTTTGAACCACTGACCTTACAATTAGCAGTCCAGTGCTTGTCCCACAGAGCCACACTGGGACATAGTACATCTCAATTAAAAGAAAACTTGTCTACTTAAAAAGAAGAAGAAGGAAATTTTGGTTGCCAGAAGACTGTCAATCCTTAGCTTTTCTGGCAAGTTCCCAGTTACATTATCAATTGATGCAACTGTAATAGATGTTGACACACCTGAAGTCAATGAGAGCCAGTAAGTAGCCACAGATTTTAATCTTGACTCTTTTGGAAGGCATTTGATCTGGGAACCCAGAAGTGAAAAGGATACAGCTTAATAACAAACCGCTGTCATCCAGTTCCAAACACCACCTATTTGTCATATTTATTAAGGCATGTGTTGATTTTATCAACGATAAGTCCATAGATTACTTTCATTTTATCAAAAGCTACTATCCTGTCATTCATAAAATTAAATTTGTTATTTTTCACATGATTTCTCATTAAAGAAAATATAGTAACTAAAATAAAAGAATAAATAAAAATAAACTCCATTACCTAGATTCATAAAGCCAATGTCAACATACAATTTGGCACATAATGAACCTAATAGGAAGCCAAAGATTGGTCCTATAATTGCAACCGTCTGCACGCACCCTGAAAAAAAAGGAAAAAAACAGCTACCATTTTTTTTTGCTTTTATAAATTAATAAATTTTCAAAAAGAAATATGAGATTCAGTTAGCATATAAAAATATTTCATTTGTGTGCTTAATTTGTCAGTTTCTCAATTTCACTAGGCAATAAGTCCTTCTCTACTTTGAGGGGAGAATGAATACTTTGAAGACATTAATTATCTCTTAGTAAGACAACACCACCAACCCCTGAAAAGTTCATTTTAAAAATGGAGGAAAGTGTACTCCCTAGGATTAGATTCCCTTCTTATAAAAATCAGCATTATACTGATTCTGACAGCCGGTCAAACACCTTTTTTCTTTTATGGTCAATTAAGTGTCAGACTTATTTTGATACTAAAATTAACTTCTTCCCCCTTAGTGAAAAAGCTCCTCCATTCCCTCAGAGTTTCCATGAAACCATTTGTGAGAGTAGTATTTGATCACACCCTTAGATGCAGCTAGCAAAGGAACTAGACTTTGAAACAGGGAGAGGGGAATGCTCTCTGGAACACCGATGGCCACCTAGTTCAGGCAAAATAGGTAAGCAGAGCATACTGCATAAATGACAACTTCTAGTAACCAGTTTTCCCTGCAAACCTCTGCTGTTTACCTTTCATTTCACTTAAGAATATAAAATGCACATATTACTGGTAGAGGCTACTCTTTAGATTAACTGGAGGAATAAATAGCAGGTATCAGATTCTTTTCTGAATAGGATAGAGGGCAAAAAAAGTGAGCATGCTCTGAGGTTTCTGGAGAGAAAAGAGGAGTACTAGGCATCTGGCCTGGTTCTTTTGGCTGCAACTTTCCCTCCTGTCCCCAGAGTGATTTCTTTGTGCGTGTGATGGATTTTTTGTTTCATTTCCGTCTCCTTTTTGTAATGAAATTTTCTATTGGAGCAGGAGCCTTGTTCTTAACTCTAGCTTGCTTAGCTATAACCAGAAGCCTCCAGGAGTTATATAGTGCCCAGCCAGAGCAGGATAGTATAGTGGCCTTGATGCGATCCCTCAACTAATTTAAATCGTGCTCTTCCATTGATGAATGTGATGCCCACAAAATATCAGAACCCCAAGAAATCATTACTAATTTCTGAGACAGAGAACAGGTCTTCATCCTCTCTGGGCCCCTAGTTCATAATCCCAACTAATGCTGTTTAAATTCAGATGAATTTAGAATTTGCCTTTGCTTCAATTTTTTGGTTTTTGCAGTTTTAGCTACTGGTCCACTTATGCGGGCCTATTCCAGAAATGAGATCGCTTGAGGCCTTGCTTCTGTCCTCTTTATGTTTTTCTTTATCTCATTCTACTGTTGAGATTTACAATTCCTAACTTCCTATCACCCACAGAACAAGAAAGAAATAGAGACAAAGGGAAATGAAAGGAAGGAAGAAAGGTGCCTTAAAAATAACAGGTCTTCTAAAATAAAATCCAACTTTTAGGGCTCTGGGAACAAATATATATACAAATTATTCAAATGCTTTAGTAATAAAGCCATCTGAAAAAAATAATTGATGACATCGAAGCCCAAAGAGGTTAAGATAATTATATGAGGTCACAGACAATATTGTAGTTACACTCAATTATTGCCCAGTTTTCTTTTAATTCAGTGCTAGTTATATACTTATTGCAAAGATATTCCTAATTGCGATTTCTTCACATCCAGTTTTTAAGTATGTACGTCTGAAATGCGTGCATTCTATAAAGTAATTGGGCATGAAATATTAAAATTTCTACACTCTAGTTAGTTTCTAATAGAATTAAGAAAACGAGGTATCCTGCCTCCCAAGAAGATGAGTGAAGTAGGGATTACCAATATAGAAGGCTGCGTTGTCTTCACAGGCAAAATCATCAAGGTATGAGATGCCTAGAGGCTGAATGGGAGTTTCTCCTATTCCACGAAGAAGATTCCCCAGAAAAACATAAATCCACATGGAGGTGCTGGCATCAATTTCACATTCTTCATATAAAAGCAAAAAAGAAAATTTAAATTAGATTAGTAGACTCCGGGTGTGGCACTGTGGTGGTGGTGGTGGTGGTGATGTGACGTAGAGTCGGTTCGGACTAACAACGACCCTGTACCGGGTTTCCGAAGCTGTAACTCTTAAGGAATAGAAAGCTTCATCTTTCTTCCGCGGAACAGCTGGTAGTTTTAAACTGCTGACCTTGAGGTTCACAGCCCAATTCGTAACCACTATGCTACCAGCTGTGTCACTGTAGGATCAGCAAAAGATTTCAAGCCACAAGGTCAGCAGTTCAAACCCACCAATTGCTCCTGGAAACCCTACATAAGGTCGCTATGAGTTGGAACTGACTCGACGGCACTTAACAACAAAGTTAAGGATTTATTCAGCTTTTCTATAATTTACCTTAAACTAGATTATATCAAACATAATTTAATATATGAGTTTGGGCAAGATGAGAATATTTTACACCTTCAAAATTTGTTGTTATTGTTGTTATATGCCATTGAGTCAGTTCTGACTCATGGCAACCCTGTATACAGCTTCCAAGAAGCAGCTGGTGGATATGAACTGCCAACCTGTGGTTATCAGTCCAGTGCTGATCCTACAGCACCACACCAGGAATCCAAAAATTTAGGCAGTCTAAATCCCCAGCACATAGATCAAGGAACTCTACATTATTTCTTGTTTCTGTTCCTTTCACGGCTTATTTTCTATCTTCTTTTCATTTTGTTCTACATTGAGGTCTTTGAATTCCTTTAATCTAACAACTTTCAATATTTTGTTGGGGACAAAACACAAATTTTTTCTCATGTCACAATTTTTAACTTTTTGTATTTTCAGCAAAAATCACATGGAATTATCTTGTTGGCTGAATTCTATGTGAAATACTATATGACTAGTACTCTAACATTGGATTGGATTGCTTAGAAAGTTGTCTGTTTAATGATGAGTATATTTCTGAGATTACAGAAACAAATTCAGGTAAAAATTATAAACTGTATATGCTTTAGCAAGCAGCCCTGGTGGCACAATGGTTAGGCACTTGACTATTAATCAAAAGATCAGATGCTCAAATTGCCAGTGGCTCCATGCAGCAAAGGCCTGGAAAGCTGCTCCCATAAAGCTTACACTTTAGGAAACCCTATTAAGAGTCCTGGTATGATGCAGTAGCTCAAAAGAGGGAACAAATCTTTACAGTGAGGATCATTCCCACCCCCTCCATACACAGAGTAGACAGGGATGGGCAACTTGGACATTGGCTACCAAAAATGGGGGCCACTACAAAGTCAAGAAGTGACTGGCTTACAAGCTTTCAAGAGGGAACCTAGATCCAGAGGACATGGAAGAAGGTAGAATCTCCACTGAGTAGTATCCAATCTGTCTGGGCAGGGCTGATGAAAGGAGATGCATATAGGTCTCTTGTGATACAATAGTGAATAATTATTATCAGGACTGACTGTGAGGGTTGGAAATGTAAAGGTAGATGTTTTGTAGCAAAGGAGGGGAGTGATTGCCTTTGCAGTCCAGGAGTGAGGTCCCTGGGACCATCAAGGGAGAAGGGCAGAGAGTGGGACCCTACCCAGAGAAACAGTGATGCCAGAGATGAAGGCAAAGATGATGATATGGAGAGATGGAGTAGCTGGGGAATCTAGACCCAGAGAGGGAGAGGGGCTGTGTGCTAATGACCAGGGTGCAGGCTTATAGTGTATACCCTTTGGTTGGTTGATGATGCATGGAGGGGATTGTAACCATGGCAATGAAATGATATATACGATAGGATGAATGTAAAGCTAATGTTCTCCCATGTAAACAATCACATAATTCACAATAAAACATTAAAAAAGAAAAAAGAGTCCTGTTGTGGCACTATGTGTTAATGCACTGGACTACAAAGTCATTTGAAATGCAAGGTTGGCAGTTCAAGCTCACCAGCCGCTCCTTGGAATTCCTATACAGAGTAGCTATTGGTCGGAATTGACTCAATGGCACTTAACAACAACAATAATTAGCATTCTACTCTATCACACAGAGTTGCTATGAGTTGGAATTGATGCACAAAAATAGCAAATGATTTAGCACTATAGCTATTCTGATTAAAATTTTTTAGCCATTTTAGAGTAAAATAGAAAGCTAACAACTCTAAAATCGTTTTATAAAAATCATATAGTAATACGATCATGTGAAGCAGGATAATTATCTCTATGTGATAAATAAAACATTGCTTTAAAGAGTTTAGCCACTTTAGAAACAAAGATATATTAACAACTTCCAACCATCACCACTTCTGAATCAGTCTCCTGTCCCAAGCTATTATAGATTTTGTATTGAAAATCACAACCCCATACTCACTCATGTAATCACATTTGGAATAGAGATCTCTTTGTTATGTTAGTTAGACATTGTCAGTGTAGGATGGGTTTTAAGCATATTACCTTTAAGATATAAAAGAGCAGATTAGGCACAGAAGACAATAGACACAGAGAGAAGATCCACACTGTCAGAAGACAAAGCAGTCCACAAAGCCAGGAAATCCAGTTTTCTGGACAGAGAAATTACAACAAGATTTTTTTCCCCATGGCCTTCCCTAGAGCTAAAGGCCCTGAGTTTGGACAACTAGCTTCCTAAACTGTGTGAAAATTTCTGTTTTTTTTAAGTCACTGAATAGGTACCTGTTATAGCAACACCAAGAAACTAAGACATAGGCACTAGAATAAATTATTTATAGTCATTATTACCAAGGAGCTCTGGTAGTGTAGTGGTTACAAATTGGTCTGCTAACCTTAAAGTCGGCAGTTTGAAACTACCAGGTGTTCTGGGGGAGAAAGATGAGGCTTTCTGCTCCCGTAAAGATTTACAGCCTCAGAAACCCTGTACAGGGTCGCTATGAGTCGGAACCGACTCCACGGCACATAACAACAACAACAAGAAGTCATTATTACCACCACTCATTTGTCAGTTTGCCATACTGTGGTCATTATTACCACCACTCGTCTGTCAGTTTGCCATACTGTGGTGATGTGTATGTTTTCGTGATGCTAAATGCTATGCCACCAGTAGTTTAAATACCAGCATGATACACCCATGGTGAACAGGTTTCAACTGAGCTTGCAGACTAAGACAGACTAGGTATAAGGAGACGCAGACTGCTTATGAATGTTTAGCCACTGAAAACCTTATGAATAGCAGTAAAACACTGTCACATAACACCAGAACACTAAATATTGTAACAAGAGAAATAGCATAGAATATTATCAGATATAGTGCTGGACAATGAAACCCTCAGGTAGAAAAGTACTCAAAATATGACTATGGAAGAACTGCCTCCTCAAAGTAGAGTAGACCATAATGATACGATAGAGTAAAAATTTGGGGGCTATCATTTGAATAGAAACAACTGTAAACATCCATTAAAAAGCAGTACATGGAATATATGAAGTATGAATCTAGGAAAAATGGAATTTGTCAAAAATTAAAGGAGCATATAAAGATTAATATACAAGGTATTAGTAAGCTTAAATGGACTGGTATTGACCATTTTGAATCTGATAATAACATGGTTTATTATGCTGATAATGACAAACTGAAGAGGAATTTCATAACATTCATCATCAGAAAGAAGATTTCAAGATTTATCTTAAAGTACAATATTATCTGCAATAGGATAATATCCATACATCTACAAGAAAAACAGTTAATACCACTATTATTCAAATCTACTCACCAACCACTAAAACCAGTGAAGATGAAATTGAAGAAATCTACCAACTTTTTCAGTCCAAAATGAGCAAATATGCAATCAAGATGTACTGATAATTACTAATAATTGGAACACCAAGGTTGGAAACAAAGATTCAGTAGGAGGAAATGATGATTGATATCTTATAGAAGATCAATGACTTAGTCATTTAAAATACCTTTTTAAATACTTGGACCTCACCAGATGGAATACACAAAAATCAAATTTAGTATATCTGTGGGAAGAGAAAGTAGAAAACCTCCATTTTATCAGTCAAAACAAGGCCATGGCAGACTGTACAACAGACCATCAATTGCATATATGCAAGTTCAGGCAGGAGCTGAAGAAAATTAAAACAAGTCCATGAGAGAAAAAATTTGACCTTGAACATCTCCCACCTGAATTTAAAGAACATCTCAAGAATAGATTTGATGCATTACACACTAATGATTGAAGAACAGAAGAAGTGTGGGATGATGTCAAGATCATCATACAGGAAGAAAGCAAAAGGCCATTAAGAAGATAAGAAAGAAGGAAAAGACCAAAATGGATGTCAGAAGAGACTCTGAAACCTGCTCTCCATCACAGAGATTCTAAAGCGAATGGAAGAAATGAGGAAGTCAAAGAGCAAACAAGAAAATTACAACTATTATATGAAATATATAAATATTATATGAAATATGCAAAGCTCTAAAGTTAGAGAACCAAAAGGGAAGAACACAGTCAGTATTTCTCAAGCTTAAAGAACTGAAGAAAAAAATTCAAGCATTGACTTGCAACATTGAAAAATGCAATATTGAATAATGCAGAAAATATTAAAAGAAGATAGATGGAATACATAGAGCCACTGTACCAAAAAAGAAATGGGCAACTTATAACCATTTCAAGAGCTAGCATATGATCAATAGCCAATGGTACTGAAGAGAGAAGTCCAAAATGCATTGACGGCATTGACAAAAACAAGGCTCTGGAAATTGATGGAATACAAATTGAAATGTTTCAACAAACAGCTGTAGCACTGGAGGCATTCACTCTCCTTACAACAAAATTTGGAAGAGAGTTACTTGGCCAACAGATTGGAGAGATCCATATTTTTGATTATTCCAAAAAGAGGTGACACAGCGGAATGTGGGAATTATCAGACAATATCATTAATATCACATACTAAAGATAATTTTGCTAAAGATAATTTTTAAACGGCTGTAATAGTATATTGACAGGGAATTGTCAGACGAAAATGTGAAGCAATGGATATCATTACAGATGTCATATGGATCTTGGCTGAAAGTAGAGAATATCAACAAAATATTTACCTTAGCTTTACTGACTATGCAAAAGCTTTAAAGTATGTGGATCATGGCAAGTTGTGGACAATACTGCTGAGAATGAGTATTCTGGAACACTTAATTGGGCTTATGACAAACCTATACATAGACCAAGAGACAATTGTTCTAACAGAACAAGGGAACACAGAATGATTTAAAAATCAGGAAAGGTGTATGATTGTATTCTTCCAGTATATTTATTTAATCTATATACTGAGCAAAAAATCCTAGAAGCTGGATTATATGTAGAAGAATGCGGCATCTGGATTGAAGGAAGACTCTTTAATAATTTATGATATGCAGATGATGCAACCTTTCTTGTTGAAACTGAAGAGGACTTAAAATACTAACTAATGAAGATCAAAGACCACAGCCTTTAGGATGCATTGCATCTCAACATAAAGAAAACAAAATTCCTCACCACTGGACCTTTAAATAACATCCCTGATAAATGGAGACATGATTGAATTTGTTAAAGACTTCATTTTGTTTGAATCTACTATCAACACTCATGGAAGAAGCAGTCAAAAAAATCAAATGATGTATTGTATTAGGCAAATCTGCTTCACAAGACCTTTCTAAAGCATACAGGAGCAAAGAGGATTTAGGTGCACCTGACATAGCTTTAGTGTTTTCAGTAGCCTCATATACATGTGAAAGTTGGACATAAACTAAGGAAGACCATAGAATAATTGATACATTCATGCTATGATGCTGGAGGCAAATATTAAAAGTATCATGGGCTGCCAGAACAACAGACCAATGTTCATTGGAAGCAGTACAGCCAGAGTGTGCCTTAAAAGCCAGGATGCTGAGACTTCACTTCTTATACTTCAGACATATTATCAGGAGGGACCAGTCCCTGAAGGAAAACATCATGTTTGGTAAAGCTGTTGCTGTTGTTGCCGTTAATGTTGTCAAGTCGCTTCCGACCCATAGCGACCCTATTTAGGGCTTCCAAAGAGCGACTGGTGAGTTTGAACCGCCAACCTTGCAGTTCAAACAGCTTTGCAGTCTGGTGCATTAACCCACAGCGCCACAAGGATCATTAAAAATGAGGGAGATCCCCAATGAGATAGATTGGCACAGTGGCAGTAGCAATAGACTCAAACTTCACTATGATTGAGAGCATGGCACAGGACTGGTCTCTGTTTCGTTCTGTTGTGCATTTTGTTGTTATGAATTGGAACTGACTCAGCAGCACCTAACAACAACAGCCATTATTAAGGAGTTCTGGTGTGGTACTGTAGGATAAGCATTGTACTGCTAATTGCAAGGTTCAATGTCCAAGGTTCAGACTCCATGGCACTCAACAACAACAATGTATTATTAAATTGAAATCTCCTAATAATCTCCCAACAATCTTGTAAGGTAGGAAGTATTTCTACAAGACAATAACAGCTAAAGTAATTTTTGAAAATACAGGTCAGTGGTTCAAGCTCACCAGTCACTCCTTGGAAACCTTATAGAGGGTTGCTATGGGTAGGAGCTGACTCGACAGCACTTAACAACAACAACAACATTTGAAGAGCTCTGGTAAACATCTTTGGGCAATTGAATCAGACTACAAGTAGTCATGATGATTCTACTCCCTTCTTAAAATGTGACCAAGTGACCAGGGATTTGCCATATTTTTTCTGGTGTTTGCTATTCCCTTCCTGAAAATATGAATCAATGCTCATGTCAATTCCAGCCATAATATTTGTTTGATTCTAAGAAGTTTGTTGATACAGTAGTCTTCCTTGTATTATGCAAAGGTAGATATTTTAGAACTGTTCTGTCCAAAATGTTGTTGTTAGGTGCCATTGAATCAGCATCAACTCATCACGACCTTATGCACAACAGAATGAAACACTGCCTGTTCCTGAGCTAACCTCACAATTGTTGTCATGCTTGAGCCCATTGATGTTGCCACTTTACCAATCCTTCTCTCTGGGGGGTCTTCCACTTTTGCTCTGACCCACTTTACCAAACATGATATCCCTCTCCAGTGACTGGTTCTTCCTGACAATATGTCCAAAGTATAAGAGATGAATTTTGCCCATCCTGGCCTCCAAGGAGCATTCTGGGTGTACTCCTTCCAACACAGATCTGTTGTTCTTTTGGCAGCCTATGGTACTTTCAATATTCTCCTCCAATACCATAACTCAAATGCATCAATTCTTCTATGAGCTTCCTTATTCACTGTGCACCTTTCGCATGTATATGAGGTTATTAAAAAACCATGGCTTGGGTCAGGCATACCTTAGTTCTCAAGCTGACATCTTTGCTGTTCAACACTTTAAAAAGGTCTTGTGCAGCACATTTGCCTAATGCCATACATCGTTTGATTTCTTGGGTGCTGCTGCCAAGAGTGTTGATGGTTGATCCAAGAAAAATGAAGTCTTTGACAACTTCAATCTTATCTCCATTGATAATAATGTTATTTATTGGCCCAGTGGGGAGGATTTTTGTTTTCTTTGCATTGACATGCAATCCATACCAAACGCTATGGTCTTTGATATTCATCAGTAAATATTTTAAGTCCTCTTAACTTTTAGCAAGCAAGGTTGTATCATCTGCATATCAAAGGTTGTTAATGCCTCTTCCTCCAATCCTGATGTCACATCTCTACAACTAAATTTCTTGGATTATTTGCTCAGCATACAGATTAAATAAATTTGGTGAAAGAATACAGCTCTGGGCACACCTTTTCTAATTTTCAACCATTCTGTGTTCCCATGTTCTGTTCGAACAACTGCCTCTTGGTCCAGGTACAGATTCCTCATGAGCACAATTAAGTGTTCCAGAATACTCATTCTCCACAATGTTGTCCATAGCTTGTCATGATCTATGTAATCTAAGGCCTTTGCGTAGTCAATAAAGCACACCAATGATATCCCTCATTTCATGTCCTCTTCTGAATCTGGCTTGAACCTCTGTCCAACATAATAACTGCTAAATAAATTCAAATGGAATAACACTAAAAATTCAGTTCCTCAGTCATACTAGTAACATTTCCAGTACTCAATTTGTCCATGTAACTTGCTATTGTTGTTGTTAAATACCATCAAGTCAATTCTGACTGTGGTATAGGGTTTCCTAGGAGAAGCTGGTACATTTGAACTGCAGACCTTGTGGTTCACAGTCTAGTCCTTTTCTACAGTGCCACACCAAAAGTCCATGTAGCTCATGGCTACTGTATTAGATAGCACAGATACAGAACAATTCTGCCATCTTAGACAGTTCTATTGAAGAACTCTGCTCTAGAAAGTGAGGAAAAACAAAGTTGTAAATGGAGTCCTATATTTATTCTGCCATTATCTTTAGCATGAGCCCTCATTCACTAAAGCCAAGAAGAAGGACTTTAAGAGAGCGGTGCCTAACAGAAAGAGAAATTCTGTGTTACTAACAGGGGACTGACAACACCAAGAGTCTATCCTGAGCTTCACCTTGCTATTATATAAGCTTCCTAGAATGCATGCAACCCCCAGGGAAAAAGTTGAGGCTATGGTCCAGTTGACTGAAATTAAGTATTTGCATTCTACTGCAAAGAGGTTCAACACATAAATAAAACTAGGTACAACATCACCAGCCTCTCCTTGGAAACTCTACACAGCGTCTCTATGCACCAGAACCTACTGGACAGCACTTAACAACAATAACAATACAGAATAAGTGTAGTGCTTACAAGTTGGCCTGCTAACCTCAAGGTAAGCAGTTTGAAACTACCAGCCATTCCATGGGAGAAAGATATGGCTTTCTGCTCCTGTGAAGGTTTACAGCATCAGAAACCCTATACAGGGTTGGTATGAGTCTGAACTGACTCTGCGGCATATAATCACCACCATCACCACAGAGAAAACACATTTCAGTAATGGACTAGGATTTGAATGTGATAAACCAGGTTTTCTGGTCCACCTTTTTTGGAACCATTAGAAGCTTTTCCCAAAGTTATTCATGCTCTTTCTTTCCATGAAATTTGATTGATTGTGTTCTTAGCATCTTTTCAAGTATGCTAACAATTTTTAAGATGTTATAATATTATCTCAAGGCAGTAAAGCTTTTGAGAACAAAAAGCATACAAATATTTGTTATACAAAGTCTTATCAAAAAGTGTTTGCTTAATCAACTAAAGTAAACTTTAAAAAAATTGTCTTACCATTACTTATTTTAGATTGTGGTTTTTCCATGACTGAGACCGGTAATTGACTGCTTGTTTCCAAGAGACATGGAGAAATGCTGAGAGTGGAATTGGAGAAAGGGGAATAGCTCTCATATCTGTACCTGCATAAAAGGATGTTTACTTTACTACAGATTAATTGATTACATACAAAAAAATTACATCCATGCTACATGATTCACTATGGTGCCTGTTTGAGTTTGCAGCTATCCCTCTAAATAACACAAAACCAAACCAATATTTACCAGTAAAGTTTGCTGAAAAGGTAGCCAGAATATCTGGTTCGTAAAGAACAAATTTGCACCACACCTGGGCAAGTTGTTTGTGCAGTGTAATGAATAAAAATAAAAGTAAAAGTTATCAGAGAGGCTCATTTTAATATTAACTAGGAGTGGGCTTCAAAATCCATAGAATAATTCCATTCTCTTTCAATTCCATTTTATATAAATCTCCTGCTTTGGTGAAAAAATATTCAACACTTGCTAAATCATTATTATCTCTGAATCAGTGGAAAATTAATTATTTAACAACTCATAATCAATTGCACATTACATTTACAGTTGCAAATTTTATAGAACAACTACAAGGCTAATACATGCATGGAGCTTTGAACAATTTACCTAGTGTGTATTTTGCTTTTTTTGTTTTTTTTTAGAGATGCACAGCAACAATCTTGACTCAGAGAATTTATATATAATACAGCACACATTCTCTATAGTTTATTAATCTTGTTGTTGTTGTTATTAGATGCCATCAAGTTGGTACTGACTCATAGTGACCCTATGCACAGCAGAACAAAATACTGCCTGATCCTGGGCCAACCTCATTATTGCCACGCTTGAGTCCATCAATGCTGCCACTTGGCCAATCCATCTTCCTCTTTTTCTCTGACCCTCTACCTTACCTAACATGATATCCTTTTTCAGCAACTGGCCCCTCCTGATGTATTAATTTAGCTTCAAGCTATCATTTCTAATTCCAGGTTACGATGGCAGCTGAGTTGAGTAGCCAATGCTTAATGTTGCCATTGAGTTGGTTCCAACTCATAGAATCCTCTAAAGGGTTTCTGAGAAGCAGCTGGATAGCTTGAATTGCCGACCCTGTGTTTCAAACTGACTTTGCACATTAGCCTGCAGCACTTCACAGGACTCCTTTTATGTTTAATGATAAGAGATTAGTCTGTCTACAGTCCACAGCTCCACGCTTTCACACAAATGATCCTTAATGATCTGAAGTATCTGCTCCACTAGCACTCTCTAAGGGGAAGTATTTGGTAAAGGACATTACAATATCATCCTAATTCTTATTATTTCAGTCACTAGCTATGTAAATAATGGCTAGTATTCATAGTGATTTAATTATAATACTACCAATAAAAATCTACTCAGCATGGTAGAATATATAGGGTTATCCTAATGCTTAAACTGACAGATCACCACTCATCTGTCAGTTTGTCACACTGTGGTGTCATGTGTTGGATGTGGAAGATATGACATGTGATGCTGGAAGATATGACACCAATATTTTAAATACCAGCTTAACTTCCATTGTAAAACAGAATAGGAATAAAGAGAGGCAGATTACTTCTGAATGGTTAACCACTGAAAACTTTATGAATAGTTGCAGAACACTGTCAGATATAGTGACAGAAAATGAGCCCTTCTGGGTAGAAGGCACTCAAAATGTGACTGAATAAAACCTGTTTCCTCAAAGTAGAATTGGCCTTAATCACATGGCTTGAGTTAAGCTTTTGAAACCTCATTTGCTGATGTGACACAACTTAAAATGAATAGAAATAGCTGCAAATATGCATTAATAACCAGAACATGGAATGTACAAAGTATGACTCCAAGAGAATTGGAAGTTGTCAAAAAAGAAATGGAATGTATAAATATTTTAGGATTTGATGAGCTAAAATGGCCTGGTATTGGCCATCTTGAATCAGATAATCGTACAGTTTACTATGCTGGAATTGACAAATGAAGAGGAATGTAATCACATTCATCATCAAAAAGAACTTTTCAAATTCTATCTTGAAGTACAACACTTTCTGTGATTGAATAAAATCCAGATGCCTACAAGGAAGACTAGTGAATACCACTATTACTCAAATTTACATATCAACCAATAACGCCAGTGGTGATGAAATTGAAGAATTTTACCACCTTGTTAAATCTGAAATTGATCAAACATACAATTGAGATACTTAGATAGCTATTAGTGACTGGAATGCAAAAGTTGGAAACAAAGGCAAAGGATCAATTATTGGAAAATATGGCATTGGTGACAGAAATGATGCTGGAGATCACATGATAGAATTTTTCAAGACCAATGACATATTTATTGCAAATACCATTTTTTATCAACATAAAGGCCTCACCAGATTAAATACAGAGGATTCAAATGGACCACATCTGTGGCAAAAGATAATGGAGAAGCTCAAGATCGTGAGCCAAAAACAAGACCCTGACTGTGGAAAAGATCATCTACTGCTCATATGCAAATTCAGGCTATAGCTGAAGAAAATTAAAACAAGTCCATGAGAGCCAAAATATGGCTTTCAGTATATCCCGTCTGAATTTAGAGTCCATCTCAATAATAGAATTTATTCATTAGATACTAATGACTTAAGGCAAGAAGAGTTGTGGGATGACATCAAGAACATCATACATCAAGAAGTCATTAAAAAGACAGGAAAAAAAGAAACGGTCAAACTGGAAAGACTCTGAAACCTGATCTTGAGCAAAGAGAAGCTAAAGTGACTAGAAGAAATGAGGAAGTAAAAGAGCTGAACAGAAAATTTCAATGGCCAGCCCAAGAACACAAATATAATGAAATGTACAAAATCCTGGAGTCAAAAAACTAAAAGGGAAGAATAAGCTCAATATTTTTCCAGCCGAAAAAAAAAAAAAAAATACAAGCCTTTAGTTGAAACATTGAAGAATTCCATGAGCAAATTTTTGAATGGCATAGGAAATATCTAAAGAAGATAGAAGGAATATATAGAGCCACTGTACCAAAAAATAGTGGGTTGATATTCAATCATTTCTACAGGTACCATATGATTAAGAACCAATGGAATTGAAAAAAAGAAGTCCAAGCAGCACTGAAGACATTGGCTAAAAACAAGACTCCGAGAACTAACCGAATACATATTGAAATCTTACACAAAACAGATGTAACAATGGAGGCACTCACTCATCTATGTCAAGAAATTTGGAAGACAACTACCTGACCAACTGACTGGAAGAGATCCATATTTGTGCCCATTTCAAACTAAGAAGAGGTTGTTCCTACAGAACAGGAGATTCATAATGGTTTAAAATCAGGAAAGTTGTGCAAGAAGGTTGTGTCTTTTCATCATGCTGATTAAATCTTTAAGTTAAGCAAATAATCCATTAGGCTGAATTTTATGAAGAAGAATATGACATCAGAACTTGATGTCACTAACAATCTTCAATATGCAAATGACAAAACTTTGCTTGACAAAAGTGAAGATGACTTGAAATACTGATGAAGATCAAAGACTACAGCCTTCTGTGTAGTATTGTAAGATCATGATAAATTGAGAAAAGATTGAACTTGTCAAAAAATTCAGTTTGCTTGGATCCATAATCAATACTCACGGAAACAGAAGTTAAGAATTCAAATGAGATATTGCATTAGACAAATCTGCTGTACAAGACCTCTTTAAAGTGCTCAAGAACAAAGATGTCAGCATGACTCAAACCATGTTATTTTCAACAGTCTCATATACATGAGAAAGTTGGACAATGAATGAGGGAGACTAAAGAAGAATTGATGCATTTGAATTACGGTGTTGGTGAACAATATTGAAAGTACCATAGATTGTCAGAAGACCAAACAAATCTGTTTTGGAAGAAGTACAGCTAGAATGTCCCTTAGAAGCCAGAATGGCAAGACTGTCTCTTGTACTTTGGACATATTATCAGGAGAGACCAGTCCCTGGATTCGGACATTATATGCTTGGAAAGGACCAACAAGATGGATTTACATAGTGGAAGCAACAATGGGCTCAAACACAACAATTGTGAGGATGGTGCAGGACTGAAAAGCGTTCCTTTATGTTGTGCATAGGATCACTATGAGTGGGAACCAACTCAACGACACCTAACAACAACAATATTTAAATTGATAAATGGGTTATATTACTTTGCTTAAACAAAATTTTAGTGAATCCATGAACTCCACAGAAAAGTACTATATGTAAGTTTGTATATAAATACTTAAGGAAATATACTCATATATTTTTTTAATATTGTATATCATGGTTCCCTGAGCAAAATAGATTAAGAGTCACTTAATTAGGATAACTATTTCTGCAACTCTTACCTACCCAGAGGACATTTAACATTGAAATTATGATAAAGGTGGTTTTCATTTTTACAAAACTAGTATGAACTGTTGTAGTCCCTTGAGATTTTTAGAGACTTGATTGTCATTATGTAGTTTTTAAAAGAAATTAATGCTTCACATCATCTAGTAACTATTAATCTTATTTGGGTTGATTTACCGATTGTAGATATTTTATATAAGTTGGATCATACATTTGATTATGAAGTATTTTGGATATTTAAAATATTTGAACTTTCTCAATTTAATCAATTAAAAATAATTGTTGAAAGCATAATGACTTCTTAGATTTTAATAAGTAGATTTTATGGAAGTACCATCTTCGTCACTAAATACTCTCTATGATGTTGTTGTTATGTGCCATGGAGTCAGTTCTGACTCATAGCGACCCTATACAGGGTTTTCAAGGCTGTAAATCTTTACGGGAGCAGAAAGTCTCATCTTTCTCCCGTGGAACAGCTGGTAGTTTCGAACTGCTGAACTTGCAGTTCGCAGCCTGATTCATAACCACTATGCTACCAGAGCTCTTTACTCTCTATGATACTCTATTAAAAAAATCATTACTGTCTTTAGGTTTCAGTTTCTTAGTTGTAAAAAGAGGACTATAGAAAATCCTAGTGTGGTGTGGTAGGATATGCCCTGGACTGCTAACTGAAAGGTCAATGGTTCAACCTGCTGATCAGAAACCCTTTACAGGGTTGCAATAGGTCAGACCAGACTCAATAGCACTTAACAACATAGATGTGTTCTGTGTCTATTTAAGCTCTGTTTGGATAAAGAGACAAAGAAGCAATGGGAAGGGGAATGAGTGGTAAGAAAGCTTTTAAATTAAAGGCTTTCATTTAAACTTGGATTCAAATCCTGACTGACACAATCTTGACTCTAAAGCATAAAATGATTTTGACAGGAGCCTCCTAATTAGTCTTCATGCCTCTAAACTTGCCCCACCAATGAGCTCTTAAAACTGTGAGTCAGTCTGCTCAAAGCCGTCTAATGACTTCCTATCTGATTCAGAGGCAAAGTCCTGGCAGTTGATTGAACATTACTATTCAGACTAAAGGAGCTCTGGTAGCGTAGTGATTACGAATCGGGCTGCGAACCTCAGGATCAGCAGTTCGAAACTATCAGCTGTTCCGCAGGAGAAAGATGAGGCGTTCTGCTCCCGTAAAGATTTACAGCCTCGGAAACTCTGTACAGGGTCTCTATGAGTCGGAACCGACTCCACGGCACATAACAACAACAACATTCAGATTACCACTATATACAGACTGCTACTACCACCACTAGCAGCAGCAGCATCTCAAGCCCATCTCCAGAGCTGTGGAATCAGAATCTACAACGTATCAAGAGCCCCAGGTGATTCAAATATGCATCAAAGTTTGAGAAACAAGTATGGTCTCTTCTCACGTGATATCTTTACTTCTCCGATTGCATGTTTACGTTTTCACCTTGCTCATTGCACCGCAGTCACATAGTCCTCATTGCTTCATCTACACACCAGGCTATCTTCTGCCAAAATGAATGTTGTGTTCACTGCTCAGTTAGCCTAGAAGTCTTCTTCCCCAGACACTGCATGGATATGCCCTTCCCTCTTGTTAGATCTCTGGAAACCATGATCTCTTTATTGTATCTGTACATTATCTAAAGGAGCCCCATGGAAGGTGAAGATTGTTTCTTCTAGGTAGGCAGAATACAGTAGTTTTTTAGGGAACAAAAATTTTCATTTTCAGAAAGTACTCAAATGAGTGACCAATGTGAAGACAGGTTGAAAAGCAGTTATTGCAATAATTCTCAGTTGTTGTGATAATCCACTACATTTCATAGGAAAGGAATTATGTGTGTGTTTATAAACGTACCAGCACAGTACCAAAGGAATGGTAGACCCTAAGTAAGTGAATGTCTAACTATATTCTCCAACATATAAAAGTGGTGGATCAGACCCTGCATCTACCACTAATCAGCACTAGTCTTACTGACTGTTGTCTTTTTTCCTGGTATTATGTCTCTTTCTGATTTCCAAGAATAGTATTTTGTATTTGTTATTAATTTGAGGTAATACCATTTGTAATCTGAATGTAACACCTTTATGATTAAATCTTTTGCTACATAATTAGCTAAAGAAGATTGACAGTAATACACAACAATAATAACACAGCTACTAATAATTCCAAGAAACTTAATAGCCATTTTGCCCAGGTTACTTGCAATAACTTTTAGAGCTAGCTGTTATGTTTATACTTATAAACAGTATGCAGAAACATCGCTAAAAAGGTTAAGTAACCTGCCCAGGGTCACAAAGAAGAGCCACTGCTTCAGTTGGTGGTTGTGATGGTTATGTGCCATGGTGTCGGTTCTGACTCAGAGCAACCCTGTACAGGTGAGTTAAATTGAGAGATTAGGAAAAAGGATTTATTTATCCTTTGAAACCACTTTCAATTCCTGATGTTTTTTCGTGGTGGAACTCTTTTTCAACTCATAGCAAACAGCTACATTGCTGACAGTGGTTATGTGTTGTGGAGATGGTATATAGCAGCCTGTATAGGATTTCCAAGGTTGTAATTCTTTATGAGAGTAGAAAGCCTCATCTTATCCCCATGGAAGCACTGGTAGTTTCAAACTGCTGACCTTGATATTAGCAGCCTGACTCATAACCACTAGACTACCAGAGCTTCATAAAGTGCTACACAGAGGCCCAAAGCATAAAACAGGCAACTGGCTCAACTGTGCATCAAGCAGGAGTTAGGCAAACTGGAGGCTCATTGCTTCAGCCTTCTCCTCTGCCTCTTCCTGGTCTATGAGTTCCATAGGACAAACTTTTGGAAAGTCAGTGATCTAAGGGAACTTCTGCCCTGTGAAAAAGAGCTCAGAGGCATCTAAAGAACAGGCAGAGTTCCAAAGTAATGAACACAGGATCAGGGAAATCAACCAAAATTGGGTAGGAAATCTCCCGCTGAAGTATTCTATGTACCACTTTTATAGATTGATTATGGAAGTCAAAAGAAATCTTTTGAGTCCAAGAAAAAGTTTGGACCAGCTCCCTCTAAATATCCTCAGCTCTAAAATACTATGATACAATGATTAAGAATATACAATAAACAAAGTATCAGGAATAATTTTTTTTTTTTTTGTAATCTTTTGTTTAAACATTTGTTAGTCACTTTTCTCTGTGAGCACAGTGACCATAGAGAAGGGAAGTAGCTTTGATATGCCAGAAGAATACTGCTTGAGAAGCCAGAAGATTTTTTTGTAGCTTCAGGTTCCATATTTACAGAATATCTAACATTGAGAATGTCATCAAATTCTCCACGTCATGATCTTTAGCTCAAAATCAAAGTGGTAAATTGTTTTTAGAAGAACTCATAAGTTATTTTAAGGAAGAAACAATATAACAAACATTTTGAACTACTATTGTTTTAAGCAAGTAATGCACTAACAAAAGTATGCTCTAGGAATAGAGACATATAACAGATAACCTTACAGTTCTACTGAGAATGGTCATGAGATAGTGTTTGAACAATAACTCTTTGGAGTTGATAATCTATCTCTGAGCCAATTATTGCTAGACAAGTGTATCATGATCCATCATTAATTATCTATTCACTACCCTGTTTTTGTTCTGCTGTGCATAAGGTTGCTATGAGTCGGTATTGACTTGATGGCACCTAACAAGAGCACCCTGTTGACATCCATTTAATATTTAGCATACAAGTTAATTTCTATTTACTTATTTTGCCTCTACAGCTGAATTAAAGCATTTGATTCAAAATGTTTAATACAAAAATTTCTTTTTAATTTTTCTGAAATCATCACAATTCTTACCACATAGTAGCAAATCAATTAGTATTTTTACAAATTATAAAATTAAAAATAAAATTCTGACAGTGCTCTGAAATTTTGCCCAGATTAAATAAATGAAACTAATACATAAAGGTGTCATAGACTTAAGTCATATGTTATCTTCTTAAACTTAAATACCTAAGCATAATAACAAAAAGGGAGTCATTCCGTTTTTGACTAAGGTAGGAAAAAGATCACTGCTTTGTACTTACTGCTCCATGAAGAACTGAGGCATGGCAATGAGAAATGTCCCAACTCCCATGATTAGGCACCCTGCTCCAATTATTTTTGGCCTGTGAAGTTTGGCTCCAAAGTAGCTAACAAATGTTATAACTAAGAGATTCCCTTTGAAAGAAAGAAGAAAATATTTATAAGTAATAAAGCTTCTAAAAAGTCATTATCCTAATTATAAACTGCAATGAATATAATGAAATGTCTTTAAATGTCTATAGAAGATCTAACAATGATTTCTTTTGACTAAAACACATTCCTCCTCCATCTTTCCTATCATTTGTCTTACCTTTCTTTAATCTGAGCCCTGCCATTATTCCTCATTTCTTTGTCAAAATAATTTGATTACAAATCCTTCTTATTCTTTTTCTTGAACCCTATTTTTTTTTTACCTTTTAATGTGTACTAGCAATAGACCAAAAAATATTGTCATAGTTTCTTCCTTTATTGAATTTTTCTACTAACGTTTCCATTAAAGTATCCAGTTGTTCTTGAAATATACATTATATGTTATCTCTTTAGCTGATATTCCTATGTTGTTGTTAAGTGCTGTTGCATCAGTTCCAATTCATAGCAACCCTATATAGGGTTTCTGAGGAGCAGCTGGTGACTTTGAACCAGCTACCTTGAGGATCAAACCGACCTTGAGGTGGAGTGCTTATTCTATGGCACTACACCAGGACTCCATATTTATTATAGCAATATTGTTGCTGTTGTTAAGTACTGTTGAGTTGGTTCGACTCATAGCGACCCTGTATAGGGTTTCCAAGGAGCAGCTGGTGGGTTTGAACTGCCGACCTTGTGATTCACAGTTCAGTGCTGACCCTACAGTGCCACACAAGAAGTCCCCAAAGAAATATAGACTCTATATTCTTATTGTTGTTGTTTTTAAATGCCATTGAGTTGGTTCTGACCCTTAGCAACCCTATATTGGGTTTCTGAGGAGCAGCTGGTGAGTTTGAACTGCCAACCTTGCAGATAAAACTGACATTGCAGTCCAGCACATTAACCCACAGTGTCACACCAGGACTCCATATTCCTTATGTTGTTGTTATTGCTAAGTGCTGTCAAGTTGCTTCTGACCTATAGTGATCCTGTATAGGGTAACAAACTACTTAACTTACTTGAAATGTGATCAACTTTTTAAACTCATATTAACACAAAAAATTTACAAATTTGTTCATATAATTTTTACAAAAATGATAAGACTCTAAATGAAATCCAAATTACTTCAAGTAAACAACTTCAGGAATACATCAATTCTGTGACATTAGTACCTTATAATATACATACCATGAAAAATGAAGTCTCCTTAAAATACACCCTTCTTTATCTCTTGAGAAATAATTCAACAGTATGTTTTTAAAGGTGAGATTTAGACCTTTATAAAATGTCTTTAGTGAAGTATACAAGTAGTAAGTTTTAATTGGTAATGGAAACATCTTTTAGGGCAAATATTATCTCTCTTTGGTGCACACAAAAATTACTGAGAGAGGTAGTTAGGGAAATACCAACTTGTTTACAATGCAGATTTTTGGCATTCTGATTCCCTGAATCTGGGTCCACGGCAAGAAATTGGCATTGTTAACAATAGCTCAAGTGTGTTTATTGGAAACAGTTCCTGGAGCATGCTTTCATAACCGTTGTTTGGGGTCTTAGATTTTAAGACACTTTAAACCTTTAGCCATTTTTATTTGTGATTCTTGTTTTTAAATAAGTGTAGTGCTAGACAGAGACAGATCTTAGCCATCTCTTAGTAATTGATCATGATGACTGAGGAGTGGCTTTGCATTGAAGTTCTCCTTCATGTTTCCAATTTTCTAGCTAGAGTGTGTTTCCTTACATCTGTAATCAATCATTTAATTTACTACTGTTTAGTCAAGTTGCCAGCATTAGTCAATTGCAGAAAAAGCAATGATTGTTATGGGCAGTATGACAAGCACTGGATTACGAACTGCAGCATTAGTGGTTCAAACCCACCAGCATTCCTTGGAAACCCTATACAGGGTCACTTCGAATCAGAAACAACTCAATGGCACTTAACAACACAAGGACAATCATAATGATAGTGAGAAAAGAGGCTTGCGCATTGACTCAAGACTTTATGACTACAGGAAATATTAAGTTCTCTTTAATTTTCATATTTAAAAAGAATAATTACATCTGATATTTCCCATTTGACATATTAAATAGTTAGTAGAAGATATTTTATATTACACTGATATTCATCTCTGTACTTTTGTTAAGGTGTTATAATAAAACTAAAAACTGGAGGATAAGTGCTTGACCACAAGGTCAATTTGAACTGCAAGCTTGGTGGTTCACACCCTCAGAAACCCTATTTAGGGTCTTATGAGTCAGAACCCACTCAAAGGCACTTAACAACAACAAGTTTGCAATTTATATGCAAAGACCTTGCCCTCCACCTGGCTACTCCATCAACACCTCCACAAAAAAGAATTTATGTTTATAAGACAGCTTATGTGTTATATTGGAGTTCTGGTGTGGCACTACAGGATAAGCACTGGACTGCTAACCACAAGATTGGCAGTTCAAACTCACCAGTCACTACTTGCTAAATATCGGTACTGTTTGTGTACCATTGATCTGGTTCTGACTCATAATGACCCGATATAGGATTTCTGAGACTGTAAATTTTTACAGGAGCAGAAAGCCTCGTCTTTCTGATGCAGAGCAGCTGGTGAATTCAAACTGCTGACTTTGCAGTTTGCAGCTCAACTGGTAACCCACTAAGCTACCAAGGCTCCTTATGTTAAATACTAGGTGCTATCATTTCAACATCTGTGATATCTAGACAATAGTTTTACTTCATTCACTTAGTATCATTTGAGTTCTCAGGACATACAGTTGGAATATAGTAATGTGTAATCTTTTAAAAATTGATTTGGATATCCAAATTCTTCCCTATCTGCCATCACTAGCTTATTAAAAAGGTCTGGAGACTTTTAAAAAGAAGTTTTGATTCTCTGTCTTTCTGGCTTTCCCATTCCCCCCACACCATCTCCTTTCCTCCCTCATACAGATAATTTCAGATGGCGAAAAAGGAAAATTACACAACTCATAAGAGTAATATACCTTTGAAAAGAGAACAGGGCAAGATAAATGCAAGAAAAGAAAACTAGATTTCAGGCTTAATTATAAAAATAGATATAAAAATTCTAAATAAAATATTAGCAAATTGAGGAATAGTATATAAAATAAACACATTTTGAATGTTGTTGTTTTTACATGCCATTAAGTTGGCTCCAAATCATAGAGACTCGATTTAGGATTTCCAAGGCTATATATATTTGCAGGAGCAAAAAGTCTCATCTTTCTCCCCAGGGGCATCTGGGCTCGAACCACTAACCTTATTATTCACAGTCTAATGCTTATACTACAGTTGATTCCAGGAGTATATGGATTCCACCAAATTAAAAAACAAAAGCAAACAAACCTAAAATTATTATCACTGATGGAGAAGAGTCCATGATTATGTTAATAGATATAGAAAATACAGTCAATCTAATCAATCACTGATTTACAAAAAGAAAAAAAAATTTTTTTTGAAAAAACTAAGGAAGGTAGAATGTATTTTATTTTTCAGTGTTTGTCTATCAAAACCTCACAGTAAACACATTACTTTATTGTAAGATTTTAAAAAAGCATTTCTAATTAGGTTAGATATCAGAAAAGGATGTCCACTGTATCTGTTGATTTGACATTTTATGAGCCCTGGTGTGATGCTGTAACATAAGCACTGGACTGGAACCAAAAGGTCAGCAATTCAAACATACCAGCTGCTCTTGGAAACCTACACAAGGTTGTTCTGAGTCCTAACTGACTCAACGGCACACAACCACAAAAATGCAATAAAATAAGAACAAGGCCAGGATGGCCAAACTTTGTCTCTCATGCTTCGAACATATTTTCAGGGGGGACCTGTTGCTGGAGAAGGATATCATGTTTGGTAAGGTGGAGGGTCAGACAAAAAGAGGAAGACCCCCAGTGAGATGGATTGGCCAAGTGGCAGCATCAATGGGCTCAAGCATGGCTACAATAGTGAGGTTGGCCCAGGATCGGGCAGTGTTTCATTCTGTTGTGCATAGGGCCACAATGAGTCGGTACTGACTCGATGGCACCTAACAACAACAACAACAACAACAACAACAAAGAACAGATCTATGAACTGTAAAGAACGGTACAAAATTATCTTCATTCTAAACCTCACCTTTGCCTACTCAGAAAACACTGCAATGTATAGGCAATGAAATAAAATTAATAGAAGTGCACACAGATAACATTTAGAAAACAATATTGTTCTTGTAATCAAGGAAATTCTGAACAGCAAATGTATCAAGAATCCTTTTCACAAAAGCAACATAAACTAAAAACTTAAAATAATGAATAAGATTGCAAATAACTAAAGAAACCCCATGATGTTAGAAGTAGAGGTTTACAATGGAAGTAGGAGTAGCTCAAGATATCTAACCCAGTTAATTTTGGTCCTTGATATGGTCTCAAAAAAATTAATATAAATTTGGACTTGGGTCCTTTGTAATTTCATATGAAAACTAGGCCTTCTACAAATGTGGTTTCTCTGTCTCTCTGGATTTAAATCACTTTTCTTACATGGTTTTTTTTTTTTTTGTTGTTTTCTGTTAATCTGTTCTATTCTATGGATACCAGTTGCCTCTTTATATTTGTTTCTGCTTATGATACAACATGTCACCCTTTCCTCAGCTCTCCATAACATTTCATTCAATTTACAGCTGTAGTTGGGGCAGACAAAATGGAATAAATCAACTACTCAAGCCTGTTTGTTTACAAAGGGAGTGATGTGATCACATGTTTTGGAACCTAGCTACAGAACTGTAATCAATTGACTAGCACCATTACTATCACCTGAAACTTATTAGAAATACAGATTTGTATACTACAGATTCACGTGGCACTGTAGGATAAGTAGTGGGCTGCTAACCCACAAGGTCGGCATTTCACATCCACCAGTGGCTCCTTGGAAACCCTACACAAGGTCGCTATGAAGCAGAACCTACTAGAAGACACTCAACAACAACCACAACTACAACAACTAGAATCAGCGTCTGCATTTCCCAGTCATTTGTACACACATTAAGTTAGGTAAGTACTGAATTTCAAAAGTTCCTTCTGGTATAATGGTGAAAGATAGATTTGGGAAGCAAGAGTCTGGGTGTTTGTTGCCCCTTAGGTATTTTGACTCTTTTTGTGTCATTCAGAGTATAAATTGAAATATATAATATGAACTAAAAACATAAATTGTTGAATAGTAGAATAAAATATCCCTTCAGTTTTCTGAAAGTTCACCAGGTGAAGGTGAAACTCGAGCAGTTAGAGATTTACACATCCCTGAGTCCCAACAGGCAGTACGGGCAACAGAGGTATCATTTTATTTTGAGAAATTTCTCAATTCAGGAAGTAAACAAGTTGGGATTACACTTTTAAATTTATAATTCACAGTGACTAATATTTTTTGGTCTTCTCAAGTTTAAAGAACTCAATTGTTTATCAGAAACACTGTTGAAATTTCCTTGCCTGCTCTGATCTAGTGTTCTTTATAATTGAATACATTTTCTCTTCTTTCTAGTCACTGGGTAGAAAGAAAACATCTTTTATGGTTTAATTTCTTCGTAACGAGAATTTTTAAGCATCCATTTCATTTCTTCTGAATTTTTAAAATTAAATCAGAGGGCTCCTGGGATTTATGTTCTGTAAAGAGAAATCCCCCATATGCACTTTTAATCCAAAATACCATCAACCTTTTATTATCTTTCCTCCAGAAAAGCCTCTAACTCGGATTGGGATCTAATTGTGTGAATCAAACAAAAGTGAACTTCTGGAACAGGGAACTTCTTTTCCATTGCTCTGAGAGGGCTATGTGTCTTTACTATAACATTGTTGGTGGTGGTGTTAGGTGTCATCGAGTCCGTTCCCACTCATAGCGACCCTATGCACAACAGAATAAAACACTATCTGGTCCTCCATGATCATCACAACTGTTGTTATACTTGAGTCCATTGCTGCTGTGACTGTGCCAACCCACCTCACTAAGGGTCTTCCTCTTTTTCACTTTACCAAGCATGATGTCTTTCTCTAGGGACTGGTCCCTCCTAATAACATGTCTGAAGTATAAGAGACGAAGTCTCATCATCCTGACTTCTAAGGAGTATTCTGACTGCATTTCTTCCAAAACAAATTTCTTTATTCTTCTGTTCAAGGTACTTTCAATATTTTTCTCCAACAACCTAACTGAAGTGCATTACCTCTTCTATGGTCTTCTTACTCACTGTCGAACTTTCACACACATGTGAGGCTACTGAAAATACCATGGCTAGGGTCAGGCACACCTTACTCCTCATAGCGAATTTTTTGCTCTTGAACACTTTAAAGAGGTCTTGTGCAGCAGATTCGCCTAATGCAATACGTCATTTGATTTCTTGACTGCTGCTTCCATGAGTGTTGATGGTAGATCGAAGAAAAATGAAGTCTCTGACAACTTCAATCTTTTCTCCATTTGTCATGATGTTATTTATTGGTCTAGTTAACAAGGATTTTTGCTTTCTTTGCATTAAGGTGCAATGTAACATAAAACCCACTGTAATTTAAAATTCACTAAACCCACTGCTGTTGAATATTTCAACTGAAGTCACAACAACTCTATAAGACCTAGTCAAATTGCCCCAGAGGGTTTCCAAGGCTGTAAATCTTACAGATGCAGACTGTCAAATCTTTCTCCCACAGAGCAGCTGGGGATTAAAAGCACTGCTTTTTTGGTTTGCAGCCAAGCATGTGCTTAATCACTGTGTCACCAGGACACCTTACTGTAACATAAAGTACTGGCAAATTCTATCTAAATTAGATTCCCCAAATAGATTACTCAGGAGAGAACAGAATGCAGTGACAATGTTGTTTAATCGTACCAAGAAGACCTTGAGCTAAAAACAATGTTGGGCATCAGCAATACCTACCAATTTCAAAACTACCATCAATAACTCCCACCAGTGAAGAAGGGATATCAAATCTTCTCTCTAGCTGAGTGATAGTGCTCTTCAAATAGCCTTCTGTCAATGCTTTGGCAAAATAAACGAAAGCCAGGGCACCAAGGAACACCTGGAAGAGATGACAGTTCACACTTAGTCTGAATCCAATTTGACACACGATTGGAGACTTGCTGAACCAAAAAAAATAAAGAAAATCACTGTGACTGTGGAAACTCAAAGCAAAGATGAAATTACTTCTGCCCAATTCAGAAGAGCATGGCTGCTTCCTGGTTTCACAAGGCAAAAGTTTAAGAAAATAAGTACTTTACCTTTTAGAAATAGTAATTAAGTTATTTCTGTAGATTTATGTATAATCAACAGATCCTCCTCTCTAGCTTCTTCATTCCAAGCAACCAGATACTTGATTATCTAAGAAATGCTTAGTACGACTTGACCCCCTCATACCTTTGACGTTTGTCTTTGTCAGCAAACTAACATATCAGGGAAGAAAGAATTCAGAAGGACATTTTAATGAATCTCTGAAAAGTCAGCTAAAATTGCTTGGTTTTCTCTGACTCCCTTCCTCCCTTCTGACTGTACAAGGCATGATGCTGCCACATATCTTTAGAACACAAACTTTAAGCTATATGTTTTCCAATCTTCAAATTGTTGTTTGAATAATAAATATCTAACATTGTTTATAACCACCTTTTAATTCTCAGAAATTCTTTTACAATACAAATGAGGAATAATGTAAAAAATGGTGTCAAGCTTGTTACCATGGAAAGCTTAAAGTCAAGCATTGTTGTAGGATTTCCCTCAACAACACATACATGTAGATTTCTAAAAGCTCAAACTCTCTTGGAAACAAAAAAGCAGACCTTTAAAAAAATTTTTAATTAGTTTGTTGCCTTTTGGTTCTGGACCCACTCCTAATCCTCTAAAGACATATGCAAAAATGTCTTCCTTTGAAAGACCACTGATTCAGTGTATGGTGATGCAAAGAAAAGCAGTCAATTGCTGATAAGAATTTAAAACAAATGAACAGGATAAGCAAACACTTAGCATCTCTTAACAAGGCCAGCCCTCATCATTATGTTTCACAATAATGGTGTGTGCTTTCTTGTTGTTGTAAGTGTCCTCAAGTCAGCTCTGACTCATAGTGATCTTGTATAGAGTTTCCTAGGAGTGGCTGGTAAGTTTGTACCACCAACCTTGTGGTCCGGTGCTTATCCTAGAGTGCCACACCAGAGCTGTGCATCATAATATAATAGAATGAAAAAAAAATAAAACTATGCCTCATGCTGAAGTTCACACTCAGGTTAAATTCATATTCAAATTCTTAATCAATACAAAATATTTCTTTGATATTAAGTTTATATCTTTTGCTAGTGTGATGAAGTATTTATAAGGTTGTTGTTGTTATTAAATGCCGAGGAGTTGGTTCTTACTCATAGTGACCCTGTATAGGGTTTCCAAGGTGCAGGTGGTGGGTTTGAACTGCCAACCTTGTGATTCACAGTGCAGTGCTTATCCTACAGCACCACACCAAGTCCATAAGGTAGATTAACATTCATGTAAGTCATATATAACGGCAATTAAAATATAGCTCTATCCCTTACAGCTTGTCAGTGATGTCAAATTCCCCATTTAGAAAATGTGAGTAATATGATTGGTTGTTCATAGGGTTAAACATTATAGACTTTGTATCTAACACAGTATCAGGTATATAGCATATTCTCAGGAAGTAATTATTTCCTCCATCTCTCTTCATTCTGAGAGGAGTATTAAAATGAGCATGTAGTTTGAAAGAAGGACAAATGGAAATGGGGAACCCAGGGAGAAAGTGGGAAGAGTACTATTACACTGAGGAGACTGCAACCAAAATGTGTATTTATTGTTGAATGGAAAATGAATTTGATTTGTAAACCTGAATTGCAACAAAAAGTTAAAAAAAAAAAAAAGGAAGGAAACCCAATGGAAAAATTATTTAAGAATATAGAGTCGATTGTTATTGTAAAGCATAGGTGAGAAGTTTGAGAGAGTGATCAGGGAGATTAAAGAACAGAATAAGATGTTGACATCATGTGAAGAAGGCCACCCATGCCAGCTATCATTAGTTATCATGACCTCTAGAACATGTGGAATGGGAACAGGTTTTACTGTGTATATTTTCACCAAAACTCAAAAAAATTTTTAAGAAAGATTTTTTTAGAAGAGCCTACTGTTAGGTGCCTTAGAATTGATTTTATAGTGACCCCATGTAGGAAAGCATTATTTAATAATTTCAAGAAAGGGGTGCTGGTGACATAGTGGATTGTGTGTTGAGAGGCTAACCACAAGGCCAGCAATTTCAAACCAAAACCCACTCCTCAAGAATAAGATGAGTCTTTCTGTTCCCATAAAGATTTACAGCCTCAGAAATCCTATACAGCCACACAACAATAACATAGTAGAGGTTGCTTTAACGGAATGGCAAGGTGTGCTTTTAATCAGTTATACCTAAGATTATTTCCTTAAAAGAAAAATAAAATCAAAACAACAATGATACACTATCTCACCCTAGCATTAACAGCAAAGTTCAGAAAAACAGAAAACAATACATGCTGGCTAGGGTGTGGAGAATACACCGCTGGTGGGACTGTCAAATGGTACAACCGCTATGGAAAGTGGTCTGGCACTTTCTCAGAAGGTTGGAAATGGAAACACCATTGGGCCAGCAATGTGTCTACTTGGTATATATCCTCAAGAAATAACAGCTGCAACACAAATAGATAATGTGCATGCCCATGTTCATTGCAGCATTATTAACAATAGCAAAAAGAGGAATGATTGAACAAACTTTGACACATACATGCCAATGATTATTATGCAACACTGAAGAACAATGATAAAGCTGCAAAACACAGCATAACGTGGAGGAATGAAATTATGCCTAGTGAAATTAACTGATTGCAAAGGGGCAGATATTGTATGAGACCACCACTGTAAAGACTCAAGAAAAGGTTTTCATTCTGTAATAAGCTTATAGTTATCAGGGTTGGGAGAGAAGGAAGAATTATTCACTGGGCAGAGTGTAGGTATGTGCTAACAGTGATGGTGAAGGCAGTTAAAAAGGAAAGAAAAGAAAAATAAAAAAGGAAATTGCTTTCCCTTATTTTTTTTCTATCATGTACTGGAAGGGAAACAAAGTACATTTATTTTCTCATAAAAAAAATAACTTATACATTATTTTTGTTTGAAACATAAAGGTCAGGTTAACATCTGTGTTATGACATGTTTAATACAGTAATGTTTGACCTCTTATCCCATCTTATTATTTTTATTTTCTCTAATAACATGTCCTCTATAATAGTGAATTAGGATATTCAGAAATATTTTGAAGACTGTCTTGTGAATAAAATGAGTAATCCTAAAAAAATAAAAAGTAAAAATGCAAAAAATAGATAAATAAATACAATTGAAAAAATACCTCTCATTTCTACCTTCATTATAATGAAGATTTCAGGACAAAGAACCAAGAGCTACTACTCCACTTAATTGTTACTCTACCTTTAGCTCACCACAACATGGTTGTTTTTCCTCTGGGCAGGGATATTTTGTTTTTAAGGAAGAACTTCCATCAGTCTGCACAGAACTTTTGCAGAATAACTGGATATTTTCTTTGGATGAAGTGTCCATTATGAAAACGTTCCTTGACTGTGACCTGTCAAAATTGATTTAAAAGAAAAAAAAGTGTATTTCATTCAAACCTATAAAATTTCACAATGGACCACAATTCTATACACACACATTTGAAGTGAAGCTACCTTTTGTTACCACAGTAAATTGGCCAAAAAAATTTCAATTAAAATCTATCAGAATGTTCAATGAATTAATCTTGCTATTGAGACTCCAGTCAGCATTCTTTTTCAGCTCCTTCAGTTTAAGCCTAATTATGTCAAAGAATAAATTTAAATGTTGCCTTTGGAATAAATAATGAGGTAGAATTTTGTTAGCTTTGTGGTCTTGCCAGCTTAAACTAGAAGCAAACAGGAAAGGAAGAAGAGGAATGCAATCATTTGCATATTGATTCATTAAAATTTAAGCCTTTAAATCCATCTTCTCAGCAGAGAGGATATAAAGAGTTGACACCTATGATAGATCATTATAGGCATGTTGTGATTCTCACAGGTCAGCAGCACCCAAGGTAAGACTTAAGTAAGGTGAGAAGTGAACTAACTTGTATATCATTTTAATGTGACAAATAAAGAAGGAGCATGATTTCTACTTCAAGTTTAGCTGTAATTCAGTTGAAAGAACAATCTTTGGCCTGCCTCAAAATAAGGAAGGTGGCCTCCTTCCTGTTTAATTTCCATTCCCCACCCTCCCTTCAGAGCCCTGATATGGCACTGTAGGATAAGTACTGGACTGCTAACCACAAAGTTGGTGGTTCAAACCCACCACCTGCTTCCTTTGAAACTCTATATAGGGTCACTATGAGTCAGAACCAACTGGACTTCACACAACAGTAACAACCTTATCTTCACTCTTCTGTCTCTACAAAGTCTTGAACAGTATCACAAACCCTAATCCTATTTTCTCCTGGTTCACATCAATATTTATATATAAGTGTCCTGATGTGGCACTATAGGATAAAGCACTGGACACCAAGGTTGGTTTGAACCACAAGGTTGGTGGTTCAAACGCACCAGCTGCTCCCTGGAAACTCTATAGAGCGTTGCTATGAGTTGGAACTGACTTGATGGCACTTAATAACAACAGCATATTCCTACTTCTTTAGTTTTCAGCATAACTCAAATGCCTACATAGCTCAGTGCTAACCAGCTCCCATAAAGATTTACAGCCTCGGAAACCCTGTACAGGGTTATTATGGGTTGGAACCGAATCAAAGGCACTTAACAACAACAACCTGATAAACTAATAAAAGTAAAAAACTGGTTGCCATTAAGTTAATTCCAATTCATGGTGATCATGTGTTACAGAGTAGAACTGGTCCATAAAATGCTCTTGACTGTAATCTTCCTGAAAGAGGAGCATCAGGACTTTTTTCCAGGTGTCTCTTGGTAGGCTAGAATTGCCAATCTTTAGGTTAATTGTCAAGCACTAACCTTTTGTGCCATCTTGTGGCCTCTCAATCTTCGTTAAGGGATTCAAATACAAATTAATTTATGGAACAACTTATTGATAATCATATAATAAGAGTGTATGCTAATGGAAGTTACACTAATTAAAGGATTCGCATTAAGAGTAAACATTTTATGTAATATGATGTAAATTTAGCTTTATTTTGCCTGTTTTCTGTATATCACTGTGACTTTATGCAATGAAACTTTATACTCTTTTAGATTTGCTATCTCATTTTTTATAGTATTAATTCATAATAAAAACTACTAAAAATGAGGAACTAGTATAAGCACATTGTTTTGAAATATGAGATATTTCAGAAGAAATACATAAACAATTTAAAAGTGGATTCTTCCAAGGTTGGGAAATGAGCTGAGAAATGACAAGGGAGATAGCTTTTTAAAAATATTAGCCTTGTAGACCGTTTGCCTTCTAAATTTACATAATTTTGGTTTAAAATTAGATATTTTTTCAGTAGGAAAGAAAAGTCAGTAAAAGAGAAAACAAAACAACAACAAAAAGCAAAAACACTAAGCACAAAAAGGACAGACTTTAACCAAGAACAAAAGACAAAGACATAGGGTATAATATTTTAATAATATTGGTGGAGTTAGTGGTTTTGTGCATTCGGGTCAGTTCTGACTCATAGCCACCCTGTATAGGGTTTCCAAAGCTGTAAATCTTTACAGGAGAAGAAAGACTCCTCTTTCTCCCACAGAACAGTTGGTGGATTCAAACTGCTGACTTGTGGTTAGCAGGTCAATGCATAACCCATTACACCATCCAGGCTTCTAAGGATATAATATTAAAGAAATATAAAAGCAAATGTTTAGAAGAATAAAATATAAAAATTATGTACAAATATATAGAAATAGCTATGCCTTAAAAAAAAAGAGTAATTTCTTAGCGAATATTAATTACCAATATTTTCATTGAACTGCTGTGGCTTTGTAGGATCAACACTGGACTGCTAAGCACAAGGTTGGTGGTTTGAGTCCAGCAGCCACTCCTTGTGAGAAAGATGAGGCTCTCTGCTCCAGGAAAGATATACAGCCTCAGAAATCCTGTACAGGGTGGCTATGAGATGGAATTGAGTTGATGACAACAACAATTTGACACCAATCAAAGAGTAATACAGCCAAGAAAGACATTGAAAATAATACCCTAATATTATTACCCAAAATAGAATCTGAGGATAGAAATTACAGTAAGAGTACTCTAGTTCCTGGTGTGGCACTGTAGGGTAAGCACTTGACCTCAAAGTCAGTTTCAACCGCAAGGTCGGCAGTTTGAATTTACCAGCTACTCTCAGAAACCGTGTATAGGGACTCTATGGGTCCAAACCAACTCGATGGCACTTAACAACAACAAAAACATTCTTCAAGAAAAGATAGCAAGTAATGGGAACGTATGGTTTCCATTTAATCAACAAACTGAGACTTATCTTGATGATAAAATCTCATAAAGATAGCACAAAAGGAAAACTTTAGATCAAGCCCATAAATACTAAAATCCCAAATATTAGCAAGTCAAAATTATTATTCTTAAAATTTTTATTTATCTTAAAAATTAAAGTTGATTAATAGTAAAAACTGAATTAGCCCAAAACATCACATTAACAAGTCAAAATAAAAAATAATAAGTCTTTCTTGTTTTTATTGTTAAGTGGCATAGAATACGTTCCAACCCATAACGACCCTCTATAGGGTTTCAAAGGAGCAACTGGTCAGCTTGAACCACTGACCTTGCAGTTCAAACTATCTTTGCAGTCCAGAGCATTAACCCACAGCACCACACCAAAACTATGTAGATGTAGTATAATAAATTTAACAATCATTCCTGATTAAAAGAAAAACAGCAAAAATAAATTGTAGGAAATTAAGAATACAAATTCTTCTTTATCTTACACAAATCATCAACTTTATACTTCCACTTAATACTAGGGAAGCTTTTAAAGACAGGTCATTGATTGCTCATTGGTAACATTTTTGCCTTCCACGTGGGACATTTGTGTTCAGTCTTAGCCAATGTACCTCAAGTGCAAATGTACCTGTCAGTGGAAGCTTGTTTGTTGCTATGGTCCTTAACAGATATCACTGGAGCTTCTAGACTATGACAGAGTAGGAAGAAAGGACCGGTGATATACTTTTGAAAATCAGCTAGTGGATCATTTTTGAAAATCAATCAGTGGAACAATCTGAGCTTCAATTTATCATGTGGATGGTACAGATTGGACATAGTAACATTCTGTTGACCATGGGGTCCCTACCATGAGTTAGGGTCCTGATTCATTGGCAGCTAGCAACATTAACAACTTTTCTAGGACTGTACTTTCCCATAACAATGAAGAGAAGGTTGAGAAACAATGCTAAACAGATTCTCTACTTTAAAAGTGTTGAGTACCTTTAATCAGAGCCTTAGAAGAACTCATTACTTTTAAGGGAAAAACAACAACAAAATTCAAAATAAAAACAAATAATCTAAAAGTCCAGCCACCTATGGTTATATGCATGCAATAATTTTTTTTTTGAAGCTACTAGAGATTAGTGTAAAGAAGTAAATGTAGTTACATAATTTTTTTTATTACAGAGATAATTTTAAGAATACATTCTACAAAATGGTATAACTAATACTTAGTTTATAAGAAAAGTACACACATATGTGTATATAAAGATACAAAAGTTTCTGAAAGCTTAGAAGCAAAAGCTTAATAATGATCATTTCTAGTTGAAGTATTATCATTGATAATTTTTCAAAGATGCTTCATGTACCTATATTTTCTAATTTTTATACAATAAACACATGCTTCTTGTATGAAAATATAATAAAAACTTATTACTGAATAAGAAATAAGTACGTTGTTGTTTAGTGCTGTGGAGTCAGTTCCGACTCAGAGCGACCCTATATAGGGTTTCCGAGGCTGTAAATCTTTACGGGAGCAGAAAGCCATCTCTTTCTCCCCTGGAACAGCTGGTAGTTTCGAACTTCTGACCTTGCGGTTCACAGCCTGATTCGTAACCACTAGGCTACCAGAGCTCCTTAAAAATAAGTATACTAGAAAAAATTTTAAATATAAAACAAATTATGCAAAAGTTACAATTTAAAATGCAGTCTTCTCCCAAGAATTGAACTATATAATTCAAATTAATTTACCAATTTAGAGATTCAGGTATTATACATGTGTCAGTCATAATATTAAAATTCACTGCTAGAAATTACAAGTAAATTGTTTTATCCTAAAATATACTCTGTCATACTACATTCATCTTTTCTAAAAGTTTCAAAGGATTCCACATAGAATGTTATATTAAAGAGGAAAAATCATATTGAAATCATTAAATCCTAAAATACCCCTGTTGTTGTTGTTGTTAGTGCCATAGAGTCACTTCCGATTCATAGTGACCTTGTTGCATAGGGTTTCCAAGGAACTGCTGGTGAGCTTGAACCACTAACCTTGAAGTTCAAACCAACTTAGCATCCAGCGCATTACCCCACAGCGACACATCAGGACTCCTGAGACCATCATTAAATGAATAAGTGGAGGTATTGACAGA